GAATTTAATATTATTTGTTAAATATTTAATAGCTAATAATAGCTATTGTAAAGCAATACACAAAGAAATTACTCCTCTCAGTAATAATTTAAAGAAAGTAATTGTTTTTACAAGGCATGGTGATAGGGCTCCAATTACAATTAATGATTATTGGAAAGATAGAGCTTGTTATAACTGTAATTCAACTAAATGTGATTTTACTGAGTGTAAAAGTGGTATTTTAAGTTACAAAGGTTATATTCAGCAGATTGCATTAGGTAAGTATATGTATAATTCATATTTAAAATATTTTAAGTCGCCAATTGATTTTAAAATTTACAGTACTAACTATGATAGAACAATTACATCAGCTAAAGGATTTTTAAAAGGATTTAATATTAGTGATGCGGTGATTGAACTTAAAGATGATATAGTTTCATCAGATGGTTGTTTAAATCTTTCTAATATCTATTCAAGTTATAATCTAAAAACAACTGATTTGTCTCAAACAGACTTTGATTGTTATGATAAATTAATGACAAGTCACTGTAATAATATTGATGTAAAATTACCAAATAAGGAATGTAAAATTACTGATAAAAATAAATTTTTAAAGAAGGCTATGAAAACATATAGTGATCAAATATTAGAAATTCAAAATAACATAAAAGTTGATCTAGTACAGTTTAATTACACGGCAAAAATTATAAAAGAATTTTTTAATAAGAAAGAAAATTTTATTGTTGTATCATCTCATGATTCAATAATTAGAAGGATAGCAAATGGACTTTTGGCAGCAATTTATAACATTCCACCTTATAGCTCAAGTTTGGCAATTGAATTATGGGAAATGAATGGCAAAGATGTTGTAAGATTGGTGTTTAATGGAACTCCAGTGAAGTTTGGATTTTATGATGAAGAAAAAGTTACAAAAGAAAATTTTATTAAGTTAATTGATTTATTTGGAAGTACTTTTGATTTGTTTAAACCACTTTGTGAAAAGTATAATAAAGAATTGTTTCTTAATCAAATTATTAATTATAAAATGTATATTGATAAAGTAGATGAATTGTTTAAAGATGTAAATGATAAAGTGAATGAATTAAAAAGTATGAATTTAATAACTAATAAGGTAATAATTGAC